AAAAAATCAGGGTGTTGGAGAAGATGGAGAGGGACAGGAAGGGGAAGCAGAGCCTCCTTATGTCTGCTTTGGTGGTGGCTACACATGGGGATCACCTTGGGAAAAAGAAGTACTCAGCACCCAGCCTTCGCTCCCCTAAATCCAGTGCTGGACTTTGCTCAGGCTCCTGTTCCACCAAAAGAGCTGAGAGTACCTGATTAATGGATTAAACAATTGTGTCTTTTTTAGAGACAGGGTCACCTGTAGCCCCAGCCAGCCTTGAACTCACTGAGTAGACCAGGCCGGCCTTGATATCACAGAGATCTGCCTGGCTCAGCCTCCCTAGTGCTAGAATTAAAGGTGTGTACCACCACACACGGCACAACGATTTTTGTCTTTTTTTTTTTATGTGTATGTGCGTATTGCCTGCATTGTAGGTAAGTGCACCCGTGTCGTGCAGTAGCCAAGGAGGACAGAAGAGGCTGTCGGATCCCCTGGGACTGGAGTTTCAGACAGTTGTTAGCTGCCATGTGGGTGCTGGGATTCAAACCCAGGTCTTCTGCAAGAACAACCAGTGTTCTTAACCGCTGAGACATCTCTCCAGCCCCACAATTTTGTCTTTTAAAAAAAGATACTCATTTTCTTGTCCAAGATCAGTTACCCATATTTAACAAATCCTGTTCCATGTATCTGTGTTGTCTATAATGTACAAAAGAGAACAAGGTCTTAGCACTACACTTCTTCCCCTTTATCCCCATAGCTCCTTGTATAGCTCTCCCTCTCCCCACTCATTTAAATACCCCTTTTACCCATTTCTCCCTTAGTAACACCTTCTCCTACTGTGCTGCTCTCTGGTTCCTTCTTTCCCTTTACCTCCCTGGTTCTCTTCCATTTTCCTAGTTCCTACAGTTACATCAGGATATGTACTCACATAGAAGGACTTGGTGCTAGGATTCACTAATGAGGGAGAACATATGTCTTGTTTTTCTGAGTCTGTGTTACTTCAGTTAGTATTAACAGTTCCTAGAGCCATCCATTTACCTGCAAATTTCATTATTTCATCTTTCTTTACTGCTGAGTATAACTCCATTGTGTAAATGTAGTACATGCACAAGACCCATGCAAACTCAAGCTGACAAAAACCCAGCACAGAACTGTGGAAATGGACAGCAGGCCCCAATCTTAGTCGAAGAGTTATTGGCAGCAGATTACTCCTGGGTGAGGAGGAGCTGATCTTAAAGGGCAAGCCAACTAGACCTCAGTGGATGAACTTGCACTGAGGAACATCCAAGGATATTAACTTGACACGCTAGGCCTTAACACAAATGACAGAATTATGAATTCCAGTAGGGAGGCGTGGGAGGGGTAGTTGGGGAAGGGGTATAAAGATGATTAAGATGATCTGTGTGAAATACACAAAAGTTCAATAATAATTTTTTTAAAGACCTATACTTCTTTCCACCTACAAATAATCATTACCAAGACAGTTCTATCTTGGAGATCACTTCATTTGTTCTAGTGTTGTATTGTGGAGTCACATACCACACAGTGGTCATCACCCCTGAGGACTCCAAACTGTTTGGCCCATTACATCTTGGGTTGTAGTCATCAATGCAGTGATTCAAGCAAGTACTAAAGAGCACTTTATTTACTGAGTCCAGACAAAGCAAGATCAGCTCCAGTAGTGAACATTGGTGTCGAACGCAGCCTGCCTCTGGCTACTCCTGTCTAGCTTCATGGACACCTAGCGCCATGAAGTCTACAACATTGGATGCTAGTGTGTCCGAAAGCAGCTCACACACATGTGGATGTTGAATAAGGAGCACACGCAAGTCTGAAACAGGAAGACATTCCAAGCAAGTAGAGGTTGTGTGTACTCTTGACTCCTGGTAGGAGGTGTTCCAGGCCCACAGCCTATTTTTGTCTATGCATGTTGACTCTACACATAGAAATGCCTTTCTCAACAATTCTAAACAATCAGTTACATATCAAAAACTTCAAAAATATTTTAATTTTTCTGCCATGTTCAGAATGCTAAACAGAAACTGCCTCTGTTCCTCATAACAGTTCTACAGTCCAGGCAAACTTCACTTCTTAGATCTTGCTGAGCTGTGGTCTCAGTCAGGTCTAAGTCTCTTATTCTTCATTTACAATTTAAACATGATAAATGCCTGTAAAATGCTTGCTCCAGTACACAGTATGTGGTGAAACATCCAATAAGATTATGTGGAACAAAGATGGTAATGACAACACAAATATTTTGAATCCATTCTGCAAATGGGCACAAAGTAGTTACCGTCTAACTTGAAACAAAGACCCAAATCAAGGCCTAGGGGGCCTAGGAATTAACAGTAACTATTAAAGTGGCTACTCTGAAGACAGGAGGAAAACAAACATCTTTTTCTTTTTCACATCTGTGCTAGGCACTTTGCATAAACAATTTCTTTATACCTTTAGGGAGGCATGCAAATAGAAATGATTACTTGCCTGCCCACCACCTACTGGACTTGCAAAATCAAAGTTAGGCTAGTGGAAACCCAAGCCTTAAGGGACTGAGAATAAAGTAAGGTCAAGCATACACAAGGCATAACTTAGTACTCCTTAGGGACAATGTGGCCACATGAAGACGAGAAAAGCAACAGAGAGACACCTCATTCAAGTCGATGGCCTATCACCAAATGCCTCTCTAAACCTAGTAACTATAACCTCAGTTCTTATTACGGTAATTACATGTTTCTATTACAGACACCTGATCTTCAAATGCTGCTTGTTTAGCCCTGAAATCATGGCAAATATCATTGTAATTTTTCATGTGAGGCATATCATAGCCTCTTGGTGCTTGGGAACTAGACAGGGATTCAGCATGCTCAGGTGCCATTTTAAAGAGTGAAGTCACATTCTCTGTTTCATGCACACATGCACATGCACAGAAAAAATAAACCAAAAGGAACTGAAATTTAAATAGGGAGAGAGATAACTCTGCAAGTCTAGTGAAGGCTGCAATAATTGTGGTGTTTCTAAGCTACAGGAAAGTTGTACCTGAATACATAATCAGCCTGACTCTTAGCATTAAGTTTTAGTACCCAAGAGTGGACTCAACCTGAATCTCCCCTTCAGCTCTGTCACTGTGCTCCTGAACCCGGTCTCACCCATACTTTTATTCAGCTGGGAAACTACAAGCTTGGATCCACTTTTATCAGAGATGCTTGACCCCAAAGGGGTTGGTCCCTGGATCTGAAATATCTCCCAGATACAAGGTCAATTCTCACTGCTTTCAATGAGGATATGACTATGAATGTGCAGTGCTTTGATGTGCTAATTCAAGCCAACCCACATCCACCCACTATCATGCCTGGAGGGCAGAGTGGGGTTCCCAGAGATCAAGGTCAGGTGCAGAGGTCACAAGAGTAGATGGCTGGGTGAGCTTCCTTGCCTTAAAAACAGTAGCTTTCTGGTGCACGGTTGAGTGAAAGTTCTGAAGTCATTCCTACACAGAACAGTCAGCATTAGAATTACAACTTAATGGGATTCTTACCTCACTGTAGGAGGAGTGAAAAGAAAAACAGGCTCTGTATGAACTCTCTCCAGTCCTAAAGGGAAAGGAAAACACAAAGGGGCACTTAGCAAAGCTAAGTTAGGTCATTATGTAGAACTTTCCCATTTAGGTCAGTCCAACATGAAGTCACCTGCTAACAGGAATTGATTCTTGGAACAGGAGTGAACTTTTTCAGAAATGGAAATTTTCTGTAGACATTTCTTAACAGCCCAAATCAAGGAAATGTTATTAAGGTATTGTGATCATTATAGAACTCCTCTATTGCATCAAAGGCTACCACTCTATGCAATAGCAGTTTGTAAGACACAGCAAAGCCATCAGACTCCTTCAGTCTCCAATACCCTCTCCCACAGAAGAGGCTCATGAATATCCTGGCTAATGTGTTGGCATAAGTTTGGAAGAAACAGTCTCACTTTAAATTTAAAAAATATTCACAATCAGTCCTCTCCTTGATTGTGCTTAAATTACATTACATCCATCCAACATTTCATCTTGGAGTTTCTCTCAGAAGACACTGGGCACTGCTCCTTTACCTCACGATCACATTTGTTTTTCTGGATCTCTCTCCAAACCACATGGTAGATGGCTTAATGTTGATTGTGTTAAGTAGAATTTTATTTTTGGAAGCAATCCCACAGGGTAATTTATTCCATTGAAAATACTCTTCTGCCTGAAAGAAAAAATTATTTTTAATTACAGTTACATGTTTTCAACAAATTTGTAGGCAGAACCTCAAAAGCAAATGTGGATGAGTTGTAAGACATGAAAAAAAAAAATGTAGACATGAAGAAGCAAACATGTAATTCCAAACTGAGGAGTATTCTTACAAAACGACTGGCCTGGATGCGTCAGAACTATTCATATTAGGAAAGAAACACAAAAGGCTGGAGATACGATTTATATGAAGAGACTCCTCAGGCTGAGTGAAGTGGCACATGACTAGAAAATCTTGACTTTAAGCCCAGCCTGTGCTAAAACAGCCTGACCCTCTCTACAGTGCAAGACCCTCTCAATAAAAAACGAAAGCAAGGCACTCCTCAGGCTGGAGCATGAGACAGAAGCAGGTCTGCGAGTCTGAGCCTAGCCTATGCTACGATAGCCACAGTCCACAATGCAAGACCCCCAGCTTGTATTTTTATCTACATTCCTTTAACCATCCCAGAGTCTACTGGATGTATACCTATGTATGATTAAATTCACCAAGTTATAATATGTAGCTTGCCTTCCATCAGAAGTAGTTTCCAATGTGTAGCTCTCTTTTTTTTAAAAAAAAACTATTTTGTGTGTCTATCTGTGTGCATGTGCATGTGAGTTCAAGTGCCAGTGGAGGCCAGAAGAGGGTTTTGGATCCCCTGGAGTTGGAGTGGCACTTGGTTGTGGCCTCCTGACATGGGTGCTAGGAACCACCAAACTCAAGTCTTTTGTAAGAGAAGCAGCAAGTACTCTCAGCTGCCCAAGCTACCTCTCCAGCCCTGCCCACGTGCAGCTCACTTATACTAGCCTGTACCAGAGCATTCCATGTTATTGATAAGAAACCATTCTACGTTGATTTTGTTGTTTAAAATTATGTTTTTATTATAGAGACCAAGCTACTGTACTTAAGGTTTCCGGCAGGGGGCAGTGTTAGGATTATAGCCGTGCTCTACATGTATAAACTCAACCTCAGCTAACAAATAACTGTGAGTTTGAATACAAGGATATTTTAAATTTTAGGAGAAAGTTATGATCAATCACACTGTTGCATTTGAAGGCAACTCATTAGTCTTAACAATTAAATGTCAAAGATACTAGTTGGGAAGAAGATGGGGTCAGACAGTAGGAGGGGAACAAGAGGTAATGAGGGGTGAGTGATAAAATACACCATAGAAAGACACAGAATTGTAGAAGAGAACTCATTATTAAAGGAAAAAACAAAGGCATATTCAAAATGGCAGCCTGATCCTAGCATTCAGTAACTCGAGGTCCGCTGTGGAAACAAATTACCAATGAGCAACAGAGTCACTGGAGGCACTCATTGAGGATTGGGCTAGAACACATTACCAACTTCATTACAAATAAAATTTCATTTTCTGATGTAGAATAATCAACTTTATTTAAAGAATGTAAGAGCCTGTGTGTGTTACTCAATATGAAGAATATACTTCTGGAATGTGTAGCTTAACAGTTTAGGAGCATGACAGGCCTCAAAATGAAATTTCTGGGCTTCCTTCTTGACCTAAATCTCTCGGGTCCCACAAGCAGTACTGGCATTTACTCAGGTACCTTTGGATGCCTGCACGCATGGATCTGGGTGCTACGATCTGTTGTGAGGTGCTGAAGGATGTCAGGCATGTTTCTAAACATGTCCAGCTTGTCCACGTGAACCTGTGGAAAATAGCAGTTAAAAGCAAATCATTTGAAATGCATTCCTAAGAATAAATAGCTCCACGGTAATTATTCTAGGGCAGAATGTCTAGTGAACGAACCTCTCTTACAGCCTAGTGCAAGGCCACTTCAAGGCTTGATAATACTCTGACAGGATGACAGCAGGCAAAGGACTCAGCTCATGGATGCATCTGATTGTGCTAATACTGTTCTTCACTCAATTCCTATTGATGCATCTCCTATATTTCATTCACATAAGCAGTGAACAAAGCATACAGAAATACAAATAGCCTACTAGGCCAGTGGCTCGGCCAACATGGCTCAGCAGGTAAACTTGAGTTCAGTCCTCAGAACCCACATAAAAGGGGAAGGAGAGAACTAACTCCACAGAGTTGTCCACTGACCTCCATAAGCACTCTGTGGCACAACAAAATAATAATAAATATTTTTTAAGGGGGGGGGCCTCTGGAGAGATGGTTCAGCAGTTAAAAGCACTGGTTGCTCTTCCAGAGGACCTGGGTTCGGGTCCCAGCACCCATATGGCAACTAACAACTGTAGTTCCAGGGAATAACTCTAACAACTAATAACTCTAGTTCTAGGGAATCTGACACCCTCTTCTGGCCTCCACAGGCATTATATATACAGGTGCACTTACATACACATACGTAAAACATTCAAACATATAATAAATAAAAATAAAAGAATAATCTGATAACATACTATGTGCCACACAGGATGGCTGGTGTGGGAAGAATGTGAGACCCAGGTCCTGCTGCCACACAACACTTCACTGGGCAAAGAGGAGGACAGACGCAGACAAATATTCAAACCTTGACCACCTTGAGAATTTTAAGGCTAGTAACAGTTTAAAGTATTAAAACCAATGGTCCAGCTTTACTTAAAGCTTATTTTCTGGGTCTTTCAAAGCAAAGGATAAGCACCTAACTTGATATTAAGATCATGAAATGGAAAAGAGGCATTCTCAGTTTGATGTGAGAATAATAAACAGATTGAAATAATGTCCAACTGCTGTGCTGATTGATACCAAGGTGAGAATAAAAAGAACTTGATCATAATTGCTTACTTAACCTGAGGCCCATTCCACTTATTACATACTAACTTACGACCAGGTAAAAAGGAAAGATGAGGGTTGGGGAGGATAGTTCAGCCAATAAAGTGCTTGCCTTACGAGCCTGAGGAACTGAGTTTGAGCTCCAGAACCTACGTAAAAAGCTAGCCATGATGGCATGTGCTTGATCCTGCCACTGAGGAGGTGGAGACAGGTGGATCCCTGAGGCTCACTGGCCAGTCAGTCTAGTCTACTTGGTGAGTTCCAAGTCAGTGAGAGACTGTCTCAAAAAAAAAAAAAAAAGAATAGTGCCTAAGCAGTGGATGACGTGTGGCCTTTAGAACATGCACTAACATGCATGTGCACTCACACATACATGCATGTACATAAACATAAGCCAGGTATGGTAACACATACCTATGATCCCAGCACTTGGAAGGTAGAGCTTAGAGGATCATGAGTTTGAAGCCAGTGGGGCTACATAGTAAGTTCCAGACCAACCTGGATTACAGAATAGAACTATGTCCCCAAAGATAAGAGAACAGAAATTAAAGAAGCAGAAAGAAGTAATGGTGAATTTGACTTTCCATATTCTCGAAGGAAATGAGGGGAAGGGAGCAAACAGAGGCCAGAAGCACTCATCCTCACAGAAATGACTGAAAAGTGGCCACAGATCATCACCCAAGCCTCTTAGTTGAAAACCTCATTGTTTTCGCTTTGAAAATTCCTAATCTATACAGGACACAGGTATACTTCCACACCGGCAGGCATAACATACACATAAAATAAAAATAAAATAAAATTCCTAATTTAGAATTGCCCTGATCCCCTGCAAAGGAACTTAAGAGAGAGCTCACTCGGAGAAAATTCTGGGATCATCAACAAATGCCTCTTTCTGAACCCTGGCTGCCTACCCAGCCCCAGGGCTCTGGAACTGTAGTTCCAGTCTTCACATGCCCTGAAATTCCATTGCAAGTTTAGGAGTGGCAACCTCTGTCGGGCACCTCACTGAAGACTCTTCAGCCCTGTTTTGTGACTGACCTCTGGTGAGGATGAATCTACTCAGATGACAGGACTTCTCAGCTCCCCACCCTATGCTGCAGCTGTTTTGATAAGCTGCTCCCACTCATCCCTATTTTCAGTTATGTGGGGGTGGGCAGGATATGGAAGGGAAAGGGAGGGTAAGAAGAACCATCACAGTACCTGGACTCCTAGCTCCTCACTAAGGTTGGTGAATAAATACTCATAACCATAAGCTGCTTTGCAGTTCAGCCACACAACATGGTATGGACTCCTAGTGATCCACCCTCGAACCAACTCCAAAATTCCACTCAAACACTCCTCCTAGACGGGATTTAAAAACAAAATTTAATACTTCCAAGAAACTCCCTTACCCTTCTCTTCCCCCACCCTCGGAGGTATCCATGATGGAGGGGACGACCATGAATTGCTATCTATGACCTAGCTCATTACCCCAGCTTTCCAAGCAGACTTACACGACTTGGAATTTGATAAAACCTTGGATCGCAGAAAGTAGTATCCAAATACACACTTTGGATATCTTTTACTCTGAAAAGGAAAAAAAATTGAGGTGAGACATTTCATCTCATAGGTTATAACTGTATATAAATTACAGATCTAAAGTTATTTTAGAGGGTATTCCATTTTCAATTTTTTTTGTTCTCAACTTTACTGAGAAACAACTTCCATATAATAAAATATAGATTTTGAGCCAGCAGGATGATTTAGAGGTAAAGGCACTTGAGCTCAATCCCTAGTACCCATGTGGTGGAAAGAGAGAACTGACTGCTGCAAGGTATCCTTTGACCTCCACAAGTGTTCACATACAAATAAATAAAGAATAGAAATATCGAGTTTACATGGATGATCCCATGACTTCTATAAAATTGCTGTCACTACCATTCCCAGTCCATACACACAACACTGTGACCTCACTGCAGGGAGGGAACTTTGCTATTACAATTTTTATATCAAGTTGATTTCTAACAGGACAAAGACTCACAATGGTGGGAGCAGAAACACTTTATAAACTATGCAGCCAAGAATTAGAGAATGTCCTATACCTGCCCCCAGAGTGTAATAGCTCCATTCTGGAAGCTTCTCCTTTTGCTAGTCTGAAGTCTCCTGTGTATAAGACAGTTCCATTTTTGCCCTGAAATAAAAACCTGAAAAAGAAATATCTCAGTGACTTGCAAATCTCAAAGTCCTGATAAAACAAATATATGTAAACCTCTAAGCCAGGTGTGGTGGTGCATGCCTTTAATCCCAGCACTTGGGAGGCAGAGGCAGGCAGATCTCTGTGAGTTCAAAAAAAAAACCTGTAACAAAAGCTGCCTGCCAAACACCCTCAATGGTGTAGTGCTAACAGAACTTCAGTGGTTCTAAGTCCTTACCCAACATTCATCTGCCTCCTTTTTCTTTGAGTATCAAAAATTAAAATAGAGGCTAGAGAGATGGCTCAGTGGTTAAGAACACTGGTTGTTCTTGCAGAAGACCTGGGTTCAAATCCCACCACCCACATGGCAGCTAACAACTGTCCGTAACAGTCCCAGGAGATCCGACAGCCTCTTCTGACCTCTGTAGGCATTGCACGACACGGGTGCACTTACCTACATGCAGGCAATACACGCATACACATAAAATAGAAATTAAAATAACTAGCAGAATGGAGACAATACTGATTTTGTACTAGTTGTCTCCTGTAGTATTTAGCATTTCAAATGATAAGTGAAATCATTCCTTTCCAGGGAGAGAAAAAGCCACATGATAAGACAGTGCAGTCATGGGAGAAATAGCCATTAAAGAAGTCAGTTCTGAGAACGCCATATTTCAAATGTGGTCTTCACCTCAGTTTCCCAAGTTCTCTACACATATTACCTTTTAGATTCTAAAAAGATATTTAATACGAAATGGTAAAATAGATGAGCCCCCTTACATAACTGATCCTGGGCAGTGACCAGCTGGTAAAAGAGTCACAACAATCTCTTCCTTCTAAAAAGAAAATAAAGAAAAGAGTAACAGAAGTTATCATTACAATCTAGCTAAATAAAGCAAGTAACTCAAAAATGCAGCTTTTCTCATTCCCTCATTCTCCAGACCCTGGAGTAACTGAAACCCTTGTCCACTAAGCAGTTAAACAGAGCTATGACAGGATCCAGTTCTACACCTAGTTATACACTTAAGAGAATAAAAAACTTATGTCCACATAAAATTCTGTATATGGATGCTCATTGCATAGCAACTCGTATCAACCAAAAAGTGGAAATATTCCAAAATGTCTGTCAACTAATGAATAGATAAACTATATGGTCTTTCCATACTATGGAATACTATTTGGCCATAAAAAGAAGATTCTACATACACAGCTACATTCATATACATGGATGCCCCTTGAAAACATGCTCAGGGAAAGAAGCCAGACACAAATACACATGATGTATGAGTCCACTGATAGGCAAGTTCAGAAAGACAGAATAGTGATTGCCAGGAGCTGTGACAGAAAGGAAGGGGAGTGGCTATGATGAGTACAGCTTCTGGGTGATGAAAATATTCTAAAATTGGCTATGATCTTGGATATGTAACTGTGAGTATACTAAAGGCACTGAGTCAGTACTTTAAATGGATGAACTGTGGGGCTCTGAATATCTCAATAAAGCTTTTATTTTTTTAAAAAGGGACTGAGTATAGCCTGGTCCCATTTCATCACATTGTACACAGTGTTGTCACTTTAGGAACAGAGTCTGTTGGGCACCACTCAGTAGGAGGGGGCAGATCTGCGCACACTGGTTCACTGCTCTGTAACTCCTCACTTAAGCTCCTTACATACCTCTAACACTGCTCATCCCCCAGACCCTTCTCAAATGGGGTCTCCCAGTTGGAGCTAGATAAATGCTACACCAAAGCCAGGTCACAAGACGAGAAATGTAAAGGACAGTATGATACAGTAAGATGGCTCACAAGAACCTGCTGTGCCACTCACTGCTTATGAGAAAGTTTCTCAGCACAGCATCTGCAGGTAGCAGGGCCACCAACCAATGACATCCCTCTCAAATCATCCAGTTGAGTCTACAATGGCATTTAGAAAAGTCCAGGCCTCCCTGCATTTAGAAAGATTCAGATCGGCCTGCCTTCCTGCCATCCTGCCTGCCTTTTTTCCTCCCTCTCCCTCCCTCCCTCCCTCCCTCTCTTCCTCCCTCTGTCCTTTCCCTTTTAAACCTGCACACATCCCCACCCCAACAAACTGGCCCTATAAGGATGAAAATGTGAAGAGGAACTACTTCAACCATCTGATCTCCCAAGAAGAAACATCTGAAAAGGTCCCTTCTGTCCTCATCACAGTCACACAACACAGGACACCCTCAGAGCTCAACACAGCAAGACATGTTACAGAGTTATAACAAACTACAGGGCAAAGGCTAACTAGGCTTGGCATGAAACAGGAAAATCCCTCAGTCCTCAGTCTCACTTAAATAGGGTTTTTGCTTTGTTTTCTTTTAATGTAGATTCACAGCCTTTTTACTATTAAAACAATATATTCACAGAGTACTATTTCTAAATTTAAGAAAAATACATTTTATCCACTTGGACAGGGACTTTTATTTTGAATTAAGAGAATGATTCCAGAAGATTTCGATTATATGAAATTTGCTTTATATTAGCCACGATTTTATATCTCAAATACAACAAAATAAATGTGACAATGATATTGTGTAGTATTAACAACTATCATTCTCATCATGAGCATTTAAAACCAAAAAGAAATAATTTTGGAAAAAAATTTAAAAATATATAAGCTATGTTCAAACTTCTCAAAGTTGGAAACAAGCACATTACTCTTCAGACTAAATGTCTCCATCTCCTCAAACTCAGGATGAAATGCTACCTCAAACGGATTTCATTAAGGAGGTTCTGACTGGTGATTAGTTTGAAAAGTGGAACCCCCCACCCCCATTCACAAAACGGGATTAGTAACCTTTAAAGGGGAGCTTCTCCACAGTGTGAGAAAAGACAGGGAAAAGACAACCAGCTAAGAATCCAAACAGAGAACCCCAGTGTACTGTGAGAGCCCCGGTGTGCAGAGAGAGAACCCCAGTGTACTGTGAGAGCCCCGGTGTGCAGAGAGAACCCCAGTGTACTGAGAGAGCCCCGCTGTGCAGAGAGAGAACCCCAGTGTACTGTGAGAGCCCGGGTATGCAGAGAGAGAACCCTAGTGTACTGTGAGAGCCCCGGTTGCAGAGAGGGAACCCCAGTGTACTGTGAGAGCCCCGGTGTGCAGAGAGAGAACCCTGCTGTGCAGAGAGAGAACCCCAGTGTACCGTGAGAGCCCCGCTGTGCAGAGAGAGAACCCCGCTGTGCAGAGAGAGAACCCCAGTGTACTGTGAGATCCCCGCTGTGCAGAGAGAGAACCCAGTGTACTGTGAGAGCCCCGGTGTGCAGAGAGAGAACCCCAGTGTACTGTGAGAGCCCCGCTGTGCAGAGAGAGAACCCAGTGTACTGT